CAGGTGTTGTTCAGGGGGTAAAGTTCTCCCAGAATCCACATTCAAACCTTTTCTAATCCGTGGGTTGAACGAAACCCTCATTTTCCGGCTTCTGCTACCAGACTAAAAGGTTTTACGTATCACAAAGGTTTGCAAACGTTTATTAAGCTTTTAAAACTAAAATAAAGATAAGTTGTAAAATGTGTAAAAATATCAGTCTTTTAAGCCACAGGATAATAGGCTGGTCAGCCTGTGGTTTCACCTCCCTCTATTGGAATCAGTCAACTTCTAAATTCAAATTGGAAACCAGTGCGAGAGCCACTTTTATTCAACTAAAAGCTCTCACGCCAGGTATTCTCTAAAGCCCCGTTTACACTGGCGAATTTTGCGGCGATTTTTGCCGCGATTTTTATGGCAATTTTCGGAAATATGAAATCTTTCATCTCATTCTTCAAAAGAGACATTCGTCTAGGAAAATCTTGGTATCCTGAAAAAAAACTTTACAAGTAATTTCTTTACCATTATTTACTATGGACAAAATCGCCGCACAAAACGCAGCAAAAATCGCCGCAAAAATCGCTAGTGTAAACGGGGCTTAACAAGCACATTTCCCCCTGTGATTTTAAAATGCAAGGAAAAATTGGTCTTTAGCTGAAGCAAAATTTAATGACAAGGAGAGAAGGATAGTTGGAAAATAATTGGATCAAAAACGCAGAGCTAAAGACCATGTCCTTCAAGAGCCAAGCCTATTCAAATTTAGACGTGACAGTAATATTTTTATTGTCCATTATTGTAAMGCAAAACACATAAAAAAAACACAACAAAATTGCCTAAAATGAATATCATCCAACAAGGCAAACTAAGAATACATACAACATCTCCAATATCAACATTACTAAGAGCATCATCTACAGGACTGACATTACTACTGTACGAGTAGAGCCAACCTGTTACCACGTTCAGGCGGCAACAGTTGCCTTCAGGTAAGAAAACAGTAGCGATGAGGTATTGCGAACTTCAGTGCGATAAAAGTTCTTTAACTGAAGTCTACTTTGTGAGCTGAAAAGAGAAGAGTGACGTATTGCAAATTAAAGGTTCAGATAGCAAAACTAAGAGGTTGCATGTAATATATTGCACATCATCTTTCTTGTATTACGCATCTCCTATTCCATATTGCGCATCATCTATCTTGTATTACGCATCTCCTATTCCATATTGCGCATCATCTATCTTGTATTACGCATCTCCTATTCCATATTGCGCATCACCTATCTTGTATTACACATCTCCTATTCCATATTGCACATCATCTATCTTGTATTACGCATCTCCTATTCCATATTGC